AAAATTCCCTCTTTTCCCTGAATTTCCCCCAATTTTTTCCCATTTTTCCTGCATTTTCCTCCCAATTTTCCCTCTCTTTTCCACTTTTCCCAATTTTCCCATTTCTCCCCCAATTTCCCCATTTTATTTCATTTTTTCCCAATTTCCCCCCATTTTTTCGTTTTTTCCCAATTTTTCCCCAAATTCCCCATTTTTATCCCATTTTTCTCCAATTTCCCATATTTATCCCATTTTTTTCCCATTTTTTTCCCCAAATTCCCCATTTTTATCCCAATTTTTCCATTTTTTCCCCAAACTCCCCGTTTTTATCCCATTTTTTCCCAAGTTTTCCCCCATTTTCCCCATTTTTATCCCATTTTTATCCAATTTTTCCCCATTTTTTCCCCATTTTATCCCATTTTTCCCAAATTTTCCCCAAATTCCCCATTTTTATCTCATTTTTCCCCCCATTTTTCCCAATTTCTCCCCAATTTCCCCATTTTTATCCCAATTCTCCCAATTTTTTCCCCAAATTCCCCCCATTTTTCCCCAATTTTTCGCCAAATTCCCCGGGTTTTCCCCCCAATTTTTCCCTTTTTTCCCCCATTTTTCCCCATTTTTCCCAATTTTTCCCCAAATTCCCCCTTTTTCCCCATTTTTATCCCATTTTTCCCCATTTTTTCCCATTTTTTCCCCATTTTTTCCCGATTTTTCCCCAAATTCCCTTTTTTTCCCCATTTTTATCCCATTTTTTCCCATTTTTCCCCAATTTCCCGGTTTTTTTCCCCCCATTTTTTCCCATTTTTTTCCCCATTTTTTCCATTTTCCCCCGATTTTTCCCGATTTTTCCCGATTTTCCCCGATTTTTCCCGATTTTTCCCGATTTTTCCCCAAATTCCCATTTTTTCCCCATTTTTCCCAATTTTTCCCATTTTTTCCCCATTTTTTTCCCAATTTTTCCCCAATTTTTCCCCAATTTTTCCCGATTTTTCCCCAAATTCCCTTTTTTCCCCCATTTTCCCCATTTTTCCCATTTTTTCCCATTTTTTCCCCATTTTTCCCGATTTTTCCCCAAATTCCCTTTTTTTCCCCATTTTTATCCCATTTTTATCCCATTTTTCCCCATTTTTCCCAATTTCCCGTTTTTTTCCCCCCATTTTTTCCCCGCCCCTCCCCCACCAGACCCAAACAGCCCCAAAAAAGGCAAAAAAAAGGCAAAAAAAAATTTTAAAAAAATCCCGGGAATTTTATTGGATTCGGGATCCCCAGGTGGGCACAGGTGACCCCGGGCGGGGCTCCCTGCCCGCTCCAGGTGTGCCCAACACCTGGCCAGGTGTTCTTGTCCCGCTCCAGGTGTGCCCAACACCTGGCCAGGTGTTCTCGTCCTGCTCCAGGTGTGCCCAACACCTGGCCAGGTGTTCTCGTCCTGCTCCAGGTGTGCCCAACACCTGGCCAGGTGCTTCCAGATGTTCCCAGTCCATCTCCAGGTGTTTCCCTCACCTGCCCAGGTGTTTCTCTCCCGTCCCCAGGTGTCTCTAGCCCATCTCCAGGTGTTTCCATCTCACCCCAGGTGTTCCTATCCCCGCTCCAGGTGTTCCCCTCACCTGTCCAGGTGTTCCCCTCTCCTGTCCAGGTGTTTCTATCCCGCCTCCAGGTGTTTCTATCCAACTTCCGGGTGTTTCCCTCACCTGCCCAGGTGTCCCCACCTCACTACTGGGAAACCTGGAGTCACCTGTGGGGCTCACCTGGCCACTCCCACTCTCACCTGTGGGGCTCACCTGGCCACTCCCCTCCTCATCTGCAGGGCTCTCACCTGCAGAGCTCACCTGGCTGATCTCACCTGCAGAGCTCACCTGGCTGCTCCCCCCCTCACCTGCAGGGCTCTCACCTGCCGAGCTCACCTGTCCCTCTTCACCTGCCGAGCTCACCTGTCCCTCTTCACCTGCCGAGCTCACCTGTCCCTCTTCACCTGCAGAGCTCACCTGTTCCCCCTCACCTGCAGAGCTCACCTGTCCCTCCTCACCTGCAGAGCTCACCTGTTCTCCCTCACCTGCAGAGCTCACCTGGCTGGTCCCCCTCTCATCTGCAGGGCTCTCACCTGCAGAGCTCACCTGTTCCCCCTCACCTGCAGAGCTCACCTGTCCCTCCTCACCTGCAGAGCTCACCTGTTCCCCCTCACCTGCAGAGCTCACCTGTTCCCCCTCACCTGCAGAGCTCACCTGTCCCTCCTCACCTGCAGAGCTCACCTGTCCCTCCTCACCTGCAGAGCTCACCTGGCCGCTCTCACTCTCACCTGAGGACGATCCCTGCCCGCTCCCCTCTTCCCCCACCGCGCTCACCTGTCCCCGCTCACCTGCCCAAGGCTTACCCAGGTACCTGAGCACCTCCCCGGGCGGGCACCTCCGCCCAGGTAAGGGATGTAACAACCCCCTGAGCAACCTGAGCGCCGCCTCCCCCAAACCCCTCCAGGTGCGCGGCGGCCTGGGCGGGGCCTCACCTGCGCAGGTGCGGCCGTGCCAGGCGCGGAAGCGGCGGAAGGCGGGGTCGGAGCGCTCAGGTGAGGCCCAGGGGAAGGCGCCGGTGAGCAGCGCGAAGAGCAGCACCCCGAAGGCCCAGGTGTCCTGAGCGGGCTCCAACCTCAGCCAGGCCTCACCTGAGCGCAGGTGCCACAGCTCAGGTGCGGCGTAAGGGGCGGGGCCTCGCGGGGGCCGCACCTGCCAGCCCAGGACCCGCGTGAGGCCGAAGTCGCCGAGTTTGACCAGGTGACACTCGGGGTCAAAGGCCAGGACATTGTCCAGCTTCAGGTCACGGTGAACCAGGGCGTGGCCGTGCAGGTAAGACAGGGCTGAGGACACCTGGGCGGCGCAGCGCTTCACCTGCGGCTCCGGGAGACCTACCTGGGGGCGGGAGACACACCTGGGGTCACACCTGGGGACGGGAGACACACCTGGGGACGGGAGACACACCTGGGG